TTCGGTAGTTTTGAAACATCAATCTTTCTCAACCTGCTTAAAGCCTACGTGCAACCGCACGTGGAATGTGCTATCCAGGCGTAGCAGCCTTGGCAGAACCAGGATCTCGTTGCTCTCAAGATTGCTCAACGAAGGGCAATCAAGAACGTCAGAGGCCGATTTCATCTGCCCTATCAGCTTAGACTGAAATCTCTAAGAATGTATAGCAGTCTGTATCGGCTTTTGCAGGGGAGGGGATCTCATGTTTTACCAGAGTCTGAAGAATCCAAACCACATTTGCTGCCCGCTGCTGGAATTGAACCACAACACTAACCTAAGAGGTCACTCTCTAAAACTGACAACACAATATAGCCGGCTTGAATACCGTAGAAATTTCTTCCCTCCGCGTGTGCCAAACTTGGAACGCTCTCGCTAATTATCTCGTCTCTACTCCCCATCTGGCGATATTTAAAATACAAGTTGAAGATGCATTGTCTCATTTGCATTTCATTTTATGCCTTATTAGCCATGGGCTACAAAACACAATCAAACAGTGTCTTACCAAAATTCCAACTAATGGGTTTATGGATTTAGACTTTTAATACGCAAAAATCTCCGCTATTCTTTATAAGTTTATGTTGAGTCCAACAAAACCCTATTTACTTCACTTTGCGCAATAATTTCCACCCCAAGGGACCTGTTGGGCATTGATTATTTACCCGTAATGCATCATTATTCCATTGTTCCTATCAACGGGTGCGAGTCGATCTCATCATGACCTATCGTATATTACGTCTCGGCGACTTCCCCATGTTGAGGCCGCTGCTTCATTTGCGAACGCCATGAAACACATGGACCACGGTACAAGATTGTTGTACCTGGTATAATACAATTACCCCACCCCAGTGCTTCGAAATGAGAGTGGTAAATGTTTTAACAGTCTGCTAGGCTAAGTCGTACAACAGTTCAAATGGTGATTAAATTTACATTCCAGCCCCATTCGATTCAGGGAACGAGTACGCACTAGCAATGACATCCTGCATTTGTGAAACCTGGGAAATTGAAAGTCAGACATTCAATAATGCTACAAAAGAAATTGACAAACGATTTCATTATCATGGAGTGCAAACACTGTTTATAAGGGTTTTAAATATATTGCGACGGAGTTGTACAGATTAATATTTCTACTTGCTCTAACAAAGAGTATTAAGTATTCGGTTTAGTAAGATTAATGAGCTATGGTTTCTTAGCGTACAAACGTAATTACCCAGCGCTAGGTGTACAGAGTATTTGTTCGCATTTATAAACTAGGACATAGTGACAGCTTAAAGAACCAGCGTAGATTATAGACACAATATTAGTGCTCAAGAAATATTTCTCATAAGTAACATACCTCATTACTATGCACATCAACGAAGCATCATCCGACTCAATATGTTTCATCGTGTGTTATCAGACGTGCACATCTAAGGTATTTGTTAACACTGGCTGAGCGATTTGACTTATACTAGCTCTGACAAGAGCCTTGTAACACATAAGGTGTGGCAATGTCATCATGGTTTTAAATTAAGTATGGCCCCATTCATGTTTACTCTAAGGAAGTTATTTCAAGAAATTGGAAAAAATGTTTAGATACAAGCGCCGGAGCGCTGCTGCAGTCCTCTTCGTAAATTCTACGGCCACCATTTCATTCCTTTTGATTTGTGAAAATGATTTTGAACGTATTCTAAAACTAATGAACAGAAAAATTGTGTGCACTTATGCACGAGAGCAAGGATTTTTTATTGAGCATGATACATCTAATGACAACAGGATGACTCACATCAGTCCAGCTGTGATTATTAGCCGAGAAGGGAGAACTAACCACATTATTCTTTGCTTTATGAGACGCACATAGACGTCATAATACCATCCTCTAAAGTTAGTGCAGATGTAATTCGAGGAACATAGATGGAAGCGTTAGGCGGTTTAAAGAACATTAGCGTTATGTATTAAATTTGGACATTATTACGTGAAGCTGTAAAGGGATTTACCTACGTAATAACTTATTTACTGGCAGTGTTAATCCAAGTTCACAAAAGAAAGTTACTAGACATCCATCCCCTCAAATGTTGCATGCGTTCTTGCATTTGCACTCTTGTCAACTGCAACACGCAGTAGACGAGCAGTAAGCTTTTTCCCTCTCCCTGTATTCCAAAGGGCAGACCCACACAAATAAATGTGTCACTAAGTCCCTTTGCTTCAACTTATCAACGTACTCGAACTTTCTTTCTGTTTTAACTAAAAGTATTTGTGCAATCTAATGGGTTCTGGTTAAAATTGACTGAACTGTCGTTCTCCTTAATCATTCACCCGCTATATCTTTGTATATTGCATAGACTGACCATCCTATCGGAAGAGGACTTTTTTGTCTGTTTGGAAATTAGTATCGTTACCTTTCAATTTATCTCCACGAAAGCATACATCTCACAAATGCTTTAAAACAGATGGGGAGTATAAGTGAATATACCTGTTTGATTTCCTACTACTTTATCCTGTTTATACCTCAACATTTTTAGTTATGAACTTGTCTCTACGAAATTAGCTGTACCACAAATAAATGCACTGCAATTTGCTTTTGAAAGTAAAATAATTTAAATTGGAATTTCAGTATTCATTACGTGACTTACTATAACGTTTCACTACAGGTGCTTTATTCATTGATAAGGCCTTACTTTCATGATGTTAATTAAGAAACTGATCAGCCGAAAGTACAGTTACTTTTAATCAAGTCATATAGTTAGTGTGACCCCTGCCTCCATTGTAGAGTGTAGTAGCATTTACGCGCCAAAAATGAAGACTTTGTTTCCAAAATCTGCTTTACACGGTAATGATGACTATTAGTAAACTGAAAAGTGTTATGACAATAGTACATAGTTATGCGGGAGTCTCAAGTATCTTTTAATGTGTGGCAGTCCCACATAGGCTATGTTGGGTCTTATAATTAAGCAACCATAATAGGTTCAAAAATCTGGATAGATTGCACTTTTAGATAAATATTAGTTGACATACCGATTTTAAATACCATGAAAAAAGCAATTCATTACTTCAAGCCAGTCTATTAATGGTATCTGGTAATTTGAGCATATCGTGCCCGTATCAGTTTACACTATTACTATAACAATCACAAATCAACCTGACCAGTAAATTCATTTTGGTTGTAAAAAATAAAATTATAAATGTTCACTAATTGTCTTAGAGCCGAAGATAAGTGTACTTCTACTACGTCATTCGGTCAACATCTTGCGATCAACTTTATCGTTTGACATGGTGCGATTTGGGGATTCTCACTCGGTGCCAAACATATTTCGGTTAGCCATTGTAATTTCTTTGTTGCAGTAGAAATATAAAAGCGATTCTATAATGTTTATAATAATACCTCTGAAAATTTGTCTCACGATGCTTGGTTACAGAGTTGATTAAAGTTATCGGGGGGAGAGACGATACGTAACATGCTGATAATAGAAGTGTAACCATACTGTGAAAGTTGGGACAAAACCCTTTACGAAAAATGTGGTATACACTAAATTGTTGTACTACATACAAAATAGGCAGCAAGTTAAGATTTTTCGCTAGGAGGTAAGTTATAGCACTTGGCCTATAAAACTAGTGTATAAATAAGTTCTTAGTCCAAACGGCACGTACCGATACATTCCGTTCTACCTACTAAACTCAGCATTCTTTTACATGCAACGTATATTCCAGTTCAAACAAGGTATGCTGTAAGAAGACACTGAGCTCTAGGTTTAGTCAGTAAATTATAGTGGAATTCAGATGGATTTTATTCATAATTTACTTTCTCATGCTGATTCTTAAATCCACCTGCTCTGGATGCGAATTCAACTCAATGGTAAACAATGGCCAGGAAAATCACAACACGTCTTATCAAACTGTCGACTTGCTAAAGCCACCTTTCCATTTCTTCCTTGTACGTAGGGATTAAAAGCCTGAAAATTCTTGTCAGAACTGTCTTGTATATCGAAAATTCATGCAGATAGCTGTAGTCGACAACGCCACTACAAACTGACCAATCGGTCTTTTGTATGACAAGGCAGAATATGTCATTTCTTTATGACTTATCGTAAACGTTACAACCCTTTTACCTCCACAGACTTTAGTCTTGGTCACTACTGGGTCGATTTATTGACGTGACGGATTGAAGCTTTTAACGCTAATACTTATACCCATGCAAGGCGATTTGGTTTTGGCCCTCTGGAAAGAAAATGTGCTTGACTCAAAGAACTGATTAATGGTAAAGGCTAGAGGGCCTGATTGTCCGCACATGGTTGGCATCATCTGTATCCGGATTCGCCTGTCCCTGTGGCCTCCACGGGAAGAGCCACAGCACGCCTCTGACCTACAGAGTGAGCGTAGGTGGCTTACGCTGAACCACCCACAGCTCCAACCACACACCCCATAACCAGCGTAAACCGATAGGATAAGACCGGGAGGTATGTGGCTGGGAGCTACGATGCATCAACGGAGCCAGCCCACACTCCTTCAAAGGTAAACACAAGCGCGATATATTTAGGAATCAATCGCAAAGAAGGCGGTGGGTGGACCGTAGTCCGCTCCACACTGAGTGCATGGAACCACTCCTTGAGCCAGGCACGGCCACAAGGACCGTGCACCCCGTCCCCTCCAACAACGACCAACTGTCTCCTGGAGCCAGTATGGACGAGCTAGTGCGTAATAGGCAGGTAGACGCCGTGTCAAAATACAAATCAAGCGTAGCCACACTTGGAATGTTATGCAACAGCTAATCACATGAAAGGAAATGTCAAACAAAATATACCGGATACATTGTACGGATATGCTGCCAAAATGGCATGTGAAATGAATGGATTTTCAAAATAGTTGTGCTAGATTCCGGATGGCAACGAAAGGGATCAAGACACATAAGTAAGAAGGTGAAAAAGATAAACGAACTTAAGCAACTTTAGTTTAAGCGGTATGCAATTTTCAGAAAGCTTGGTAAACGACCGGTTAATGTATTTATGAGGATACACAACGTTTCGCATTTGACACAAATGCTTCATCAGGCGAAGTGAATTATCTAAACATTGTCATTATATAGCGATCATGGCTAAACTACATACAAAGACGAATCAATTTGCAGTTCATCTATGAATGATAACAGCGGTCAAAGGTCAATATGTTCGCGGGTACACTGTAGTTTGTTTCAGTCAGGGTCAAATGGGGGAAAGAAATTGCCGGTCCGTGGATAATTGCATTGTGGTTAACAATCTTAATTGAACCGTTGCAGGGAACTTGGACACCGATAGAATTTGGCTTTAGTACTTCGGAGTTTGGTGGAGGGTGGGCCGATAGTTCATTCCGACTTGGGATCCATCCGCCGATGCTTACAAAGCTGGCCGGAGTAAGACTGGACGCCAGGCACTGGACAGCCCTACTCCGTCTATTCTATTCACGCAGTTGTTAGCCTTGGTTATTTCTATAGCCTCAGCAATCAGCCTTTGTTTGGCTGATCGTAATCCCCTCCTGATTACCTCCACATTTTCGAAGTCAATTTTATGTCCCGTGTCTAGCGCATGCATTGCTATTGCTGAATCTCTGAGTAGAGCTCCATACTCTAGCTCATTTCGCGGAGGTCGTGATATGTGTCGCCTATGTTCTGAAATCCTTGTACGTAATTCCCTCGCTGTTTGGCCTATATACACTTGTGTACAATCTTTACATGGAATTTTGTAAATACAGTTAGTTGTTCTATCTAAAGGGAGTGTATCCTTCAGGTGCACAAGTGTGGACCGTAGAGTTCGACCCTTCTGGAAAACTACCCTTATCTTCTCCTTATTCAGTACTCTCCGAATCGCTTCCGAGGTTCCTTCTTTATACGGAATACCCACTGTCGCTATCCACTCTGCGGTTGGAGTTGCGCGTGGGTTGAGACATTTCTGTAGCTGTCGTTTCACTAATCGTTTCGGATATCCGCTAGCTATTAAGTTTTTCATCGCTTCCCTCTGCGCTGCTTTCTTATCTTCTTCCTCCGTGCACAGAGCACTTGCTCTGTGAAATAGTGATGAGGCGATTCCCGCGTACACGTGCTTTGGGTGGCTTGAACTATAGCTGAGTACCCCATCTGTGTCCATTGGTTTGCGATACATCGTTGTTTTTAACGTTCCTTCCTTCCTATGTACCAGACAATCAAGGAACGGAAGTGTACCGCTCTGCGACTCAAGTTCCATTGTGAACTTTATCGCATTGTCAATAGAGTTCAAATAGTTTAAAAATTCTTCTTTTTTATCCCTTTTTATAATCGCAAAAGTGTCATCCACGTAGCGCCACCATACTTTCAGGGCACCACGGAAATTGGGTAATGCTTTCTTTTCAAACTCTTCCATGTACATATTGGCTAATACGGGGGATATTGGGGATCCCATGGCCAGACCCTGTTCTTGAGTGTACATTCTAGACTGGAACGTGAAATGAGTCATGTCAAGACACAAAGCTATCCCCTCGACCAGTTGATCCACTGTCAGCTTTGTTCTGTCCTCCAAGCTGCTGTCCCCTCTCAAGCAGTTTTTCGCTAATCGTAACGCCTCCTCCTTGGGTACATTCGTGAACAAGGAGGTAACATCGAAGCTGACCATCAATTCGTCTTGTTCGATGCTCACCCCTCGCACCATTTGTGCAAACTCATAAGAGTTTTTTACAAATGTGTTCGTTCTCCCTGTTAGGGGTTGCAGCAGGCTCGCTAGATATCTCGCGAGTTCATGTGTGGGAGAGCCTATGCCATCCACTATAGGTCGCAAGGGGACCTTGGGCTTGTGTATCTTTGGGAGACCGTAAATTCTAGGTGGAATAGCCGACTTCGGATAAATGCTGTACCATTTGCCCTTTCCTAAACTGTCCTTCACGGTCCTTAAGTAACTAGCGACATCTGAAGATGTAATTCCTGGAGTTGAACCCGTTATGACTAGATTACCACTTGAAAAGGCGGAATACATCCGCGCCCAATTAGCAAATATAATTAGATTTCAACAGCCGGTAGAATCGAATCTTGCTCCAGCTGAACACGCAGCGTTAAAGACCCTGAAAGAGGATAGAGTATTGGATATTCGGTATGCAATTTAATAGATCATTCAGCTACACATTAAAATGAGGTAGTAAAATAGCAATCATTCAAGCTAGCAAACCTGCCACCTGAAATAAAGCAACACAGCACGCAAACACATCGATGGTAAATCGAATGCAACGTACCTGCCAACGTTGCACAGGTTCTGCTTACGTTCTCAGCAGGACTCGTCGTCTTTTCGATGTTGGAATCGAGTGGCATCGCTCGTGGCTCATTAAAGTTGCGTGACTCAAACATTCATGAACGCACGTGCTACCTCACCACATGTTCGAAGTCGATGGAGTAAAGCCCATCGACGGTTGTCGCTTCCGCAACTGCCGCTGCTTCTCTGTATGCACGACGGCTTTCTTTTGCACCTCGACAACTGCCTTCGTGGTGAGATCGCGCCATACATGTTGATCAAGCGCTTTCGATTCCCATGACCTGCGATCAAGATTAGAACGCGATAGGCTCCATTTGGTCATATTCTAGGAACCTATCTTTGGTTTATCCACGTGCCGTTTCCCCGCACTCATTTGGCCATAAAGCAGCTCTTTCGGTATCCGGGTCGAAGCCATCTGACGAATATGCCCGAGCCACACCAGGTGCCTTAGTAGAAGTATGTAGTCCACTGCATACTGTCACTGCGTCGGGGCAACTCCGTGACTAAAACTTGGTCACTCCAGCGGATGCGCTTAATACAACACAGACACTGCTGATGGAAGCGCTCCAGCTATCGGACATCCTTCCGATAAAACGTCCAGGTTTCACTGCCATATAGAAGAACGGACAGCACCATAGGCTTATATACCAGCAGCTTAGACCCAACATTGAGCTGATGGTTGTCCCATACACGACATTCCAGCTTGCGAATAGCAGATGCGTCTCCGAAACGCGGCTGCACAGCTCGCTCGTCATCTGCTGATCGGTTGTTCTTAAGCTACCAAGGTAGCGAAATCTCGAAGTGGATTCCAACACGTCGTCGGCTATCTGGATTTGGGGCACGTGCACGAACTTGTGTTCGTGCACCTGGTGAAGGCTGAAATAAACAAAAAGTCTTGCTTGTGTTGATGGTGAGCCCGAATTTGGCCGCTATCGAAGCCAGAACACTAGTCATGTGCTGCAACTCATTCACGCTATACGCAAAAAATGCACAGTCGTCAGCAAACAGCAACATATCGATAGTCGTCTCACAGACTAGGATTATCGTACCGAGACGACGGATGATCACCAACCCACCATCAATAAGGTGCTCCACAAGAACACAGTAAACACAAGCGGTACCAAAAACACAAGACACCATGGCATTAATATAAATATATTAATAATAATATTATTATATTACTTATATCATTATATCATTATATTATATTAGTATATTATATATTATTACGTTACTATTATAACACATTATTATATTATTATATTACATTATGATATTATTATTCCAGTAATAGTATATTGATTATATTAGTAATATTAATATAAATATTAAAGAGGGCGGCAGGTAAGACATAGAATTGCTTTGCACCAGAGACCACTGTAAGGTTATCCTAGGTCTGTCCACTCAGCCGCACCCTCGCCGGCATATCACTGTGCAGGCATTCAATTAACCTTACAAAATTACTCGGACAACCAGACTTACCCAAACTTGCTCCACATGTATATACAAAAAATGTGCCTTAAGAATGAGTTACATATTTGATGGCGTACCTGTTTTGAAAGCCACTCCGGCACACGGCGAGATGGGGAAACGAAATGCGGGTGAAACCCAACGAGATAATATTATGCATGAAAGCAAGTAACTAGGGGACGCTTCAATAGATGACCGTATCACTTCACTTGTACATTTGGATTTAGATACCTTTCCTAGTTGCTGCAAACTCACAATCTCCTTGAAAGATTCATTTGATCAGTTAGCCATTCCCGCAAAAAATATGCTGAGAACAGCTTTGGAAACTTTAGAAAATAAAATAGCTGCTCCTTGCGATTGCGCTGTCCATCAGGAAGTAATCCATCCAGTTGGGCTGTGCTTCACATCGTCAAGGAATATAAACTTTTATTTATTTTCCTTCGTCCTAACTACATATCTCTCATGCAAGCGCATGGTATTACCTGCAAATATAATGTCTGTAACAAACATGGAAGCAGCTTCTCACATAAAGCGAAATATACCAATTCAGTACTATTCTAAATTCCCTCGGCATATGTGAAACTAACCTTGACTCATGTGTGATTTAATGTAAATCTTCACTGTGTTTAGAACAGCGTACCGGTCACGCTTAATTACTGCCAGAGAGCAATTTACCAACAGAAAGTTTGATTTGTTAACCGGAACTAACCGATCAATGCGCTTTAATTGGTGCCCATAATCGTAGTGCATTGTTCACTACTGTTTCATCCGCTACACCGTTTAGAATTAATAGCGTATACGTCCCGACTAGTGCTCATGTGTTTCCCGTAGGCAAGGTTAGGAAAACCACAATGAGCGCAGTATGTTGACACATTTTCTACCGTTAGTAAAGTAAATAAAACTGCCCCATATGAAAAGCATAGCATAGGTTTACTAATTCTAATTGACTGATAAAATGTTGATCTACAGGACCTGCAATTTTATCAGGTTTGCCTGAGCGTTGTTTCCTGTCTGTAAATTTTGCTGGCCTACGTCGAGAACAAACAGCAATGTTCCACCTTGTTCAACATAGAAGTATGATTTATAAAAATTAATGCTTCCAGTTTGACTGTAAACTCCTCAAAACATCACTCTACGTGGGTCACGTTCAATTTTTTGGCAAACGAAAATATTCGTTATTTAGACTTGATTATTATACTGTTCGTTCGACCGTGTTAATTGTACTTAACTAGGGGCTAGTGTACTGGTCCAGGCGACCAGGAATTACTTTGGAAAATTATGCTTTCATCGCTAGCATACGCCCTCCTTTATAGTTAATCATTAAAAATTCAGATTTTGTACACATTGCTTTTGTTATCACCTGAAATCTACATACGCATCCTCCCAGCAGCAATGCTAGCATGAGTTTTCTCGGCTTATTTTCTGAAGGTTACGAAACATTGTCGAACTGGCTTACATTAGTATGTTGCCATTATGACCAAAACTTCAAACGAAAATTAAGCATGTCCCCTATAATACATACGGATACACGTCGCTGCTTACATGAGAGAGCAGCAGCTGAACAAATCATTGAGGATGAGTTTGTTCAACAACTTCCAGCGTAGTATTTCAGAAGACATTAGCTGTAGGCCTTTTACGCAAAAGTAAAATATGAAAATGACTCAATCTTTTCCTCATCCTTAGTGACAAGCACCGAACAAAGTTCAAAGTCTAGGATGCATTCGCTAGGGCTGTAGTATATAGAGTAGAATGGATCCAGGGTCAGACAAACGACAGTCGTTAATAGCTAAAGCTGAACAAGTGAATAGGTTGTTTGTGACCCATTCGTAACAAAGATTACTACTACCTTGTAACACACTCATTAAATGGGCATAGTTGCAGCACCAGCTCAAGCTACAATGCGTACAACGTATCAGCAGTCAACAAACGGACTTAAGGCCTTTCAGAAAGCCGGACACTAGTGTTCTTGTAAAGCTTCTGAAATGGATCTCACATAGTCATCCTCTTTGAGCATAGCTGATATTTGACCGAAACATCATTGCCACAGAAACGCTTACCCTGAAAATGACAACGGTTGCTAAAATCAGTTTCGTTTGCGTAACTCATAGACAGGAATTTCAGTTTGCGACCATAAACTACTGCAACAGTTTGAAAGTCAAAATAGAAGTGCAAAATTAATTACTGTTATTGCGCATTTCAAGATAAGCATTGGTGTAGTTTTGCCACGTAATTCTTGGTTGTCGCTGTTCATAAAATATATTACCGTATTTTTCGGACTATAAGGTGTACTTTAAATCATGATATTGGCTAAAATTTTGGCATCGCGCCATAAATTCCGGTGGGCCTTATGTATGAATGGTTGTGCTGAGGCCTATTGAACTCGAATCAATTTCTATGTTCACACTGCGCTGAAAAATCTGTCAAAATCTTTTCTTACGACTTTGATTGCCGAAGCATACTCGCTGGTCAAGAACCTCTTGGGGTCGGCTTTCTATGTTGTTTAGACTGACATGTTTTGGAATTGCAAACTCAGTGCTTTTTTGGAGACGATAAACCAGCCAACTATTCAGCCATCCACTCTGATATCCCATAGCGTGATCTATGTGATGATTACTCCACCCGGCAAACTCTTTTGGTCCAACAAGGCACCTTGCAAACACTGTCCAAAACAAGCACCTGTATCTCGCTGGATGCAGGTGAGTGTTTGAACACAAGATCTGCGCTCACACCAGTGTTCCAAAGACGTGCGGTCATCCAAACAGTCGGCGACGCCCTTGTGTGCTTCACACACATCATCGTACAAACTTAAGTTTTCGGATAGACAACTGGAACGTACGTCGTCGTGCTGCAACTACGGAGGGAGTAATAGTGCACTTACGGAGAAACGCGAGATAACGTACAATCTGATAAACATATTACGGCAAGCACGATAATATTTTTCAGCGCCAGTCGCATGCTCACCGTCAAGATGAGGCTTATTCGATTACCGCTACCACATTTCCTAATACGTACTATGCTTCAATAAACCGATATTTAAGGACCCCAAAATGACACCTGTTAAGTGACATGCTTACGAAGCGGATTTCAAACTCAAGCCCATCAGCCACGCAGTATAACATGGGACTAGAGCAGCTGCGAAACAATTCAGTCTTAATGAATCAATGGTACGGAAGTGGAAGAAGCAAGAAGATGACCTGCGCAAATTACAGTAGACAAAGAAGAGTTTCTGATGAAACAAAGCAAGCTGAATGCAGTTAGAGGACAAAATTGAGCAGTGGATTATTGAACATAGAACAGCAGGTAGGAGCTTCTCTACAGTCTCCATTCGGTTCAAAGCAATAGCGTTGACCTGTGATATGAAGATGAACGAGTTTCAAGGAAGTGCTTCTCAGTGCTTACATTTTAAGAAAAGGCGTCATCTTTCACTCCGCACAAGAACCATCATGTTGCAGCAACTGCCAAAGCATTACGAAGAGAAGCTGGCCATCTTTCGCATTTACTGCATAAACAAGGGCACCGGAAAGAAAATCCAGTCCGACCACATCACAAACATAGACGAGGTTCCTCTCGACTTTTATATCCCCGTGAACCGTACTGTTGAAAAAAAACGGACGTCTACTGTATCTATAAGCACCATAGGGAACGAGAATCCATCCTTCACTGTGGTTTTTGGTTGCCAGGCTAATGACCAGAAACGACCCCATGGTAATTTTTAAGAGGAAGACTGCTAAAAGGAAACTTTTCTGTTGGCTTCTTCGTCAAGGTCAACCCGAAAGGCTGGATGGACGAGGAGAAAAGGAGCGCATTGCTGAGAGAAGCTTACGTCAGGAGACTCGATGGCTTATTCCGCACATCTCCGTCCTTATTGACCTACGACTCCACGTGCACCCATTTCACCCAAACTGCCAAAAGCCCAGTGAAGAAAACTAATTCGGAACTTTCTATCATTCCAGGAGGATTAACCAAAGAACTCCAACCGCCAGATATTAGTTTCAACAGAGCGTACAAAGTTAAATTCCGAGCCGCCTGGCAGCATTGGATGGCAGAAGGTGAGTACACATTTGCCAAGACAGGGAGGCGAAATCCGGACTAGTTACGCCACTAACTGCCAATGGATCGTCGATGCCTGGGCCAAGGTATCGGTCTCAACTGTCGGATGAGCCATCACGAAGGCCGGAATCATCAATGGACAGCCAAGCAACGGCAACGGGACTGACTCAGATCACAACGAGAGGGATGTGGGCTTGCTTGATTCCGCCATGGCCCAACTTCTAAACTTCGACACTGCAGATGAATATTGACGGATTTATAGAAGAGGAATTTTTGAAAAAGTGTTCATTTTTCTGTGTTTTCTGTATGTTACAAGTGAACAATATTGACAGTTATTGTTAATGAGTTGAATTAAGTCTGACATATCCGACTATTTTGTATTGCTTTATGTGCCTTATAAGCCAGTACGCCTTAGATATGAAATTAGCTCCGCTCACTGATACTGCGTTTTAAAATCCGGTGCGCCCTCTCGTCCGAAAATGCGGTACACAAACTGTCGAATGATTTCAGAATGAGGAAAAATCCGCAATTTCATTTTACCTACATCCTATGACTATTTACAAAGCTAGAATGTAATGAGACAAAACCACTGTTTTCTCGATCAATGCTCTATCCACAAACAGCGATTTCTTATGCGCGTCCTCGGATCCTCAGTGTCAATAATATATTTTAGAGATAATATGAATATATATCTGTTGATATCACACTGATAAATCCCGCGATAAATAATTTCTCATCCAAAGGTTAGAGATCTTCAACAAAATTGGGATGCATTTTTCAAGACATAGTGAAGTGATTACCTTCGGACGCGGTGGCTATACTATCCCTGTGGAGCACAACGCATCAGTCATAGAGTAGGGTAGTATAGAAGTGGAAAGATTGCTTTTATTGTATAAATCAGAGCAGTTATGGTTGGTTGAGGCCGGCGCATGAAGTTTGTACAGCTTTGTAAAAACAAATGATTTAAAATATCGTTCGTGCATTATTCTGTTTTCTTTTATCTTGGTTACCTTCAGCGATAAGAAAGGTGGCGCATCTGATGCTGTCCCAATGGTCGAATAACTGCAATTCACTTCAACGTGAGCACGGTCTTGACTGAGATCTTCCCAAAAGTACCCTTCCAATGGATCAGTAACCATCAAGCCACACGCTGCCTGACGGGACTCTTTGGATAAAGGGTAGGGGTCTCGCCTAACAACCCAAAGGTCTCTAATTCGAGTCACAGTCTTCCTATCTCTGTCCGGTGAGAGCAAGCTAAGTGTGATATTATGAGTTTTCCACATGTAACATCTATGAGAATGCACAGTTTTATGTAAGACACACATTTTTACGTGATTGACAATGAGTTATCATGTTGGGATTAGAGATAAACATGATTTTTTGATGATGACGGACACGATGACGACGCCAAAGCATCTTTCTTAAATCTACTTGCAACCCAGAGCTCTTACATATAAACTTTAAAGCATATGTAAACCTGGTTTGAGAAGAACAAGGAAGAATCCTGTAACCACTGCAAGATTCCCAAGAGATATGCATACGTCACACGTGTTAGACTTATAAATGATAATACATAGCCCTGCTTTCAATGTTAGGACCTGTTTCATATTGGTGACTTACCATTCTCAAATAAAATTCATAAATATTTGATTACACTTATCGTTATCTGAGTTATCAGCGAAGACCAAGCATTGCAAAAATAATAGCTTCATGCATTTACAGTCCCCATTTGGCGCGATCGATGGACGGGTGATATATTCGCACAATATGCTAACCGCATTGAAATAGCAAATAGAAAAGTAAAGATGGGCGATATATAAGTTCATAGACGAAACGTACAATGCACTTAGTCTAACGGACACCCAAATAAAGACTAGTTAGGTTGAGGAAAGAAAGAATTTTTCACCAGCGAAAGGGCATCGTTCGAGTTGTATTCCAGATGTAAGTGTATATAACCAAGTTGGTAACATGCACTAAACTACCTAATTATCTGGGAGCAACATGTAAATATAACTTGGTATACACATCATACGGGGAAATCTCCAAGTCGCTACATAAGTATTGCTGCAGATTTCTAACTAGCCATTTTGCACATTTTGCACTTTGTGAATTTTCACATGACAGTTGATATTAACCATCCGTCAGATGACGATAGTGAGTATCGATGGTTAAACCTAGCAAAAACTGAGTACAAATCGAGTATTCAAAACATAAACAACTCACCTGATTATTTGCTTCAGTTGCATCACTGTCGTTTGCATTTATCTGTCCTAGCAAGAGGTTACTTTTGGCATCTTCTGGGACGGATAATTGGTACAGCGGGTTTGTGAAGACAGGCGGACAGTCATTTACATCCTGTATATACACATGTACTTTCCCAGTGAGCATATGTTGCTCCTCCTCATCTAGTTCTGTACCGAATACCGCATACCGGGAACTTTGATTGCTTGTATGAATATTCCCTCGATCAGAAACCCTGACCGTTAAATTAAATTGCTCTTCATGTTCGCGGTTAAACGAACGTAAGCTTGTTAGTACTCCAGTTGTCGGATCGATAGCAAAATCATTACCGTGATCCACATCTAGACTGAAAGTAAGCTGCGCGTTAACACCAATGTCTGAATCTGTTGCCTCCACAACATAAACTTTGCTCCCCGGAGGTTCATTCTCTTTTAAATATGCTATCATTTTATTTTGTTTGAATACAGGTATATGGTCGTTTATATCTTCAATCACCAGGTGTAAGCTCATTTGAGATGATAACGGCGGCTGACCCCGATCCACGCAGGTCAATACGGCGTATTGCTCGGTTTGTTGCTCACGGTCAAAAGTGATGGTCGTAAGCAACTTGAATTGATTAATGGCGCCATCAAATAATGGTTGAAGTGATAATCCCTTAAGGTTGATCTGGCAAGGCATTCTTGAACCATACACATCTTTCTCCTCAAACTTGCGGTTGGGTGTCATATGCACTGAAGATGCATAAGAATTCTGGCCTGGTAAAACACTGCCGGATCCTGGAACTTCGTCTGTGTCACTCACGGTGACAGTGGCAATAAACCTGCCTGGAGGCTCGTGTTCTCTCACATATAAAGTCACCATGGCTTTTCCATGTGGTAGGTGGGTGCTAAATGGGCGTTGCAAACGACCCTGCGTTCCTTTTTGCGGCGAACCTGGTGGCACAACTGGTTGGATTGTTATTGTGGGAGGGTGATCGTTTTGATTGATAACGAATATGTGAACTCTGAGTGAAACTCTATGTTTACCATCTGTAACCCCTATAGGCACAATCATATATTTGATCTTCTCATAGTCCAACGTCTGGAGCAACACGATTTCCCCTGTTTTTGCTCTTACCTCAAATATCGTCCTCGTTAAACTGCCTGCCGATGTTTCCATATAGAATTTCAACTTTCCCTTATCACTGTCGTCAATGTCCACAGCTTGAGCTGTGTACACAACTCTACCTACCGCCATGTTTTCCTCCACCTGGATGATCTCTTCTCCTGGTGGAACGGGGATAGTAATATGCTGCGGCTGACTTTCCTCCAATTTTCTTTGCAACCGAAACACAGGTGCGTGGTCGTTTGTGTCGGTAACAGTAATGCTAATTAGAACGGAACCAGTAAGCGCAACTGGCTGTCCACCATCGGCACCAAGCAAATAAAACTGCATATGTCTTGATCGCAGGCTGTTTGTCCTCATTTGTTCATTTTCCTTTAGTCCATCATACAAAGCGGGCGATTCGTCATATTCCAGATCGCGAATTACGCGAAGCCAGAGCTTAAAATCTCTCCTGAAGCACCCAGCAGAATGTCCGCTCCACAGGCTGTGACCGAAATCTGGATTATTCAGCCCAGATACCAATTCGGTGTCAAGCTGAAAGGCTTCTTGGTGGTCTGTCACATCAATATCATTAACACGTTTCCCATTAATAGGAATACTTCTTGTAGTATAGCTTATTGTGGTGTTCACAGGGCCACAATCTGGGTCATACGCGCTGGGTAATAAGAATCTTGTGCCAACAGGTGTGTGCTCGGTCACAGAAAACGTAATAGTGCTTTCCTGCCAGCCGGGTGGGTTATCGTTAATATCTAGAACAATGATGGTGATGATAATTACGTGGTGCTGGTGAACATCTGAGTTCGACTGAGAGTGTGTGAAATAAAGTGCCTGTAGACGAAACCGACAGACAGTATCCGCCGCATTGTCCGATGACCGCTGGTCACCTCTATGCTGCTGCAAGGGAAGGCCATTCAGCGTGTTTATCGACGGACCAGAATCGGAACATATGGTTTCTCGGTCGATCTGATTTCGTGTTAATAAATCCCCGCTGGTCTCATTTAAATAGAACAGGTTTGTTGGCGTGAGTAATTGAAATGCGTTCTTTGTGGTCGCGTACAGGGGCAGTGCACTGCCCAAAGGTGGTTGGTTATACAAACTTCCAACCAATGTGTTCAGAGGACAGTTCTCAGGTAGTGTAAACTCCACCGTAAATTGAGCCCAGACAGACAAAACATTGAAATAGAGAATGGGGAATAGGACAGGCTGCAGTGTATCTCTGAACAACATCATCTGGTTTTCAGTAGTCAGTTCGTAGAAAAATCACAGGGTGCACTGAACTTCATCTTTGACGAAGTATAAGAGTCCTCTTTCAAATCATCCCTCGGAGTAGACTACACAATGTTTGAAGCTTTAAACATTGCAAATCCCTTGTGTTTTAACTTAATATCGGACAGAACCACCTTAGTGTTGAGTGGGATTTCCTTAGCTGTTTGTGTGCGTAACTGACCAATCCCTGATAGGTTGTCTCATCTGTTGTAAAGGCAACCGTGTGTCTGTTCCACGTGCACCCACGAGGGACAAAGCCACAAAACTCGTGCATGGTTTATGGCACATATGGCAACGCGTGTGCACCAGCGGAATCCCACATGTGCAGCATGGATCGTTATGGAATGGATAATGGTGAAATTCGGTACCAAACCTAGCAACATATGGGTGGGAGTTTTTTAAGATTCTACTAGTTTGAGAGTAATGATCTGACCACTGCTAAATCTAAAGTTAAATGAACAACAGGTAAAAGAATCTCGAGCTAAAATCCTATTTTTGATCGTCTCTCTGAAATTGTTTACCGCGAGATAAATCTGGCCATTCATTTTGTAGTTTGCTAGTAAGCCATAAACTGATAGGTCTACTTCAAATGATCCGGGGGTTAATGTTTTAGAATAAGGCGGTTAAATAAGAGATAGCAATCCCTAGTCTTAGTGTACTGAACGCAAACATTATAGTAGATGCCCTCGTGAATGCGACAAATATAATGTGCAAAGACAAATGGCAAAATGGATATGCAATTATTTATTTGAGTTATAAGAAGCTTGGATATATTTTGGTCTTTATCGATGATATCAGTTTCTGGGGAGGGGGTCAGATAGTTTGGAAGTCGATCCTTTCACGTTTGACTGGTTATTGCATGAATATTTATTTTTAGGTCCCTATAATTGTCCAAGGCGGAACTTGAGGAAAGCGCAAACGATGACGAATTTTACACTGAAGCAGTAGGGAGGCAAGCGTCCATAAAATTTACCATTAAACTATAAAATTTTAAATCCGCGCACAAAGCTACCATGAGTCAAATGTTAATGTAATTTTCAACTGAAGTGTCAGATACTGCCTAGATAGTTACAATACAAGTTTTTAGTGAACGCATGCAATGAATGTATAGACGTTTATGCAATATAATAGATTTTGTACAAACTGCTTTCTTCGAAGTATTTGCTGTATTCATGAACATTTGACCGATACCCGGAAACTAGTCAATCAGCTTTTAATCTTCAAGGATTTAAGTCTTGACGCGAAAAACTATCGCCCATGCCAACGAAGCAGGTGCCAGTGCGTATACTTAATTTTGGGAAAGTCAAAGACTGGCTGACCTGATTAGAGCGACGGGTCTCTTAAATCCACTTAATGAGCTGCTACCCCTCTACGACTTCTTTAGCGATAAGCCCATCAGTCAGCTTTCACTTTCCAAAGAATTTAGAGTCAGTTTTACTCAAATAGTTTTTCAAACTTTTAGAGCTAGTTGATGATAGCAACTCAGTATCAATTATAAAGACCTGCTTGGATCAGTTTTGCTACTAAAAGTATTTGCGTGGTGACTCTCCATGCATTTACGCCCTGAGTCATGAAAATATGTTTCGTCTATATTGTATAAATCGGGGTACTATCTGCAATATGATTTAAATTTGATAAAACGGAAAATTTTGCTGGATGCATTGGTTGAGTTTAAATTTATACCAATAGAGTCCGTGTGCTAGAAATGGATTGATTACTGCTAGGTAGTAGTACAGATGGCTTGGTAATTTTCAAAAAAATTTACTGGTCCTAAATTGGATGAGACAGTTGTGCCGACAAAGGATCTCACAAAAGAAAGATTGTGCTACGAAGTTTCGTTTTGGTTGATTAGTCTATAAAGTCTCGGAGTAAATAGCGCGTCTTATCATTCATAGCCAGTATATTGCGGTACTCATAAAGCGAGATAATTGATACACTTGTAAATGATTGAATAAACATTAATTTCATATTCCTCATTCATTGAAGCAGTGTGGGACATGCGATCTTCAATATTTTAACTGAAGCACAAGTAAGTGATCAAGTGACGAATTTGGGCTCATATTTTGGCAAGAATACGTAGGGATTCGTATTTACGACATAACTGTTTAAAATTTGCATGTTGACAGATATCGCGCGAGCGGACTGGTAAATGCTAGCCAGTTAGCATCAGTAATTTAACACAGATCACAATGCTTTCTTTCCTTTTATCTGAGGCCAAATTGTCTGGTTCTACTCACAAGCTCACCAAACCTATTGATAATTAATCTGCGTCCAACTGTTCGTAATCTATATTACCTTAAGCGTTACATGTATGCAAATATACCTCAAAAAGTTGTCCTAATTTCTGTATACATTAAGTCAGAAGCGTACCTCCTTGACCCACTGACTCACTGTGTGGTGCCTCCGGGCCCATTTTGAGCTACTCCCACCAGGTTGTCCAATGGTTAGAAGTCAGACCAACTTAGTCTCCTGGTCCTCCAGCTTGGGGTTTGAAGTGGGATGGCCTCCATTCCTGCAAAACCAATTCCTTTCCACCTCTGCGCTGCCTTGCAGACAGGTTTTTGAGCCAAAAGCTTTGGATGAGGACCCTAATACTACTTCTGTCTAAGTCTCGGGCCTGGCAGTATCTCAGCCCACATACAACCATGAAGATTTCTTCAAACTTTACCTACATCCTGCATCGGATGTAGCGCAGATTACAAAGAGTCACCTTATCTGCTGTATACAGCAGGGTGGATAAGCGAAAACACGCTACTGCTGGCGCCTTCTTGTTTCATTTCCACCCATTTCTCTTACTCCCATCCAAGCTCCTAGTACTAAGCTTCTTTCTATAATTCCCACCTTAATTGACAGCAACCGAAGTGCCACTGGAATAGAGTCATCTGCAGCCGCCATCTTGCGACACCTACCGCACGGCTATCAGTAACAATCCGTTATAAGATCACGCTGTTCAGTTTCCCTGGTGGCGTTCAATGTTCGCACTCTAAGACAAAAAGGCCAACTTGCTGCACTCGCACGTACGTTGGACACGATGGGCATTGACGTATGCTGTGTCCGAAACTAGGATGAAGACCCTAATGGGCTTGCTGAATTAACTGCGCCCGACTTGTCCCCTCGCAAGCATCCGGAGACGCCGATGTAACACTCACATTTCAAGCTGGGGTAGACAACATCATAAGCTTCAAGGCTGAGGCATCGTTGGTTGATGGGATTCCGGTGAACAGCCGTTTATGTGTAGCCCGTTTGAAGATATTGACCAAGGTTGATTCAGGAAGTAGTACAAAACCTAATTTGTTTGTGATTTCCGTTGATGCTCGCACCGACTGCAGTTCTAATGCTGTCACGGACACATTCTACCAAGAATTGAATGCGATACTATGTAGTGCTACCAGTTCAGAAAGCAAAACATTGCTGCGAATGTGAATGCACAAGTATGGTGTCTGATCTCTTCAGATGCTCAGCTGGGTGGTAATTATGGGATTAACTTCGAACGGACTGACAAAGCGTGCCTGTGCTGTAAATGTGTGCGGAGAAACAGTTATCTCTTAGTAGTACTGCTTTTAAACACAATGGGTGCCGAAGAGTCACTTGTCGTCCTCCTGTAGCTGGTCAGCGTTGGACCCAAATTGATCACGTTGCCGTAGGCTACATGTGGCGTGGTTCCATCCTGGATAGCCGCTCGTACTGGAGTATCTACGTCGACTCTGAGCATGCTTCGGTACGTAGTCGTTTCTCCAAGAACATTACCGGGAGACACACCAAGCTTCTTTCCCAATTGGCAAATGAGAAATTGTCTCAGCCCTCGGACAGCCAAGCCTATCAAGACGCACTGCCTACCGAACGTCCGCTGCCTTGTCCTAATGATCCTGAGCTTCAGTGGAATAGGATCTCGGCCACCGTGTACGAAGCAGGAGCATCCGCTCGTAGCACTATCAGTTGTCACCGCACCAGTCACTGGATATCCAAGAGCTCGGTGAACCAGTTGGAATCTAGAAGAAACCTCCGGGCTGGGTCTGAGCAAAATGTGATCAGACGGACTATTGAATGCGAGCTAAATCTAGATCCGGGGGCTGACAAAAAGCCTAGTGGACCAGTCAGGATTAAGAAATGATGGAGGCAGGAGCAGTAGGCAATTATCGCACGCTCATCCAACTGAACCGAACCATTTGTCCCAGAAAACCAGGCGTTAGTGAGACAATCGGAGACCGCGGGTACACTGCAACATAATAAGGAGCGCCGGTTGCTCATTGGGCGGAACACGTTCCAGATCAGTCCAGTTGGCCACCTGTTTCCTACTCATTTTTGGGCTGCTGGCCAGAATTCCCTCCAACCTGCACAATCTACGGATGGTGGTGAGGCCCTCTGCAAAACACTGACAGCCCTATTCGAACATATCTGGAAGGAAGGGAGTGTCCCGGCTAACTGGTGTGAATCGATTATAGTGGCAATATAGAAGAAGTGCAGTTGCACTGACTGTGCTAACAACAGGGTGTATTGGCCTAACGCGCTGTGACAAAATTCCTGACCTCGATTCAAGTTCCGCGCTTCACTGTTGAACGAGAATCACGGATTAGGGAGGTGCAGACAGGTTCCCGCTTAGGAAGTGGCTGTATAGACGATCTATTCACTCTGTGACGGGTATTAGAGCTGCGCCACGCACACCGCACACTGACAATATCTGTGTTCTTCGTTTTAAATAGTGTGTTCGATTCTGTTGATCTAGAAATTCCGTTCGAAATACGTGCGCGGAAAGTTGTTCCCACGAAATGGATGAAATGCCTACTTGCTCTACATTTGAACACTACAAGACGCTTCAGAGTCTACGGCGACCTGTCGAACAGATTTCCGACAACAAGTGGTGTTGGTCAGGGCTGTTCCATTTTCCCGTTTTTGTTCAATTTCGTCGTGGAGTCTATCATGCAATGTTCCCTTACATACTCTCAAGATGTAGGTGTTGAGGTCCT